CCTTTGTGATCGGTGTCGTTAAAATTCGCAGTCATGACATTCTTCGGATATAATGTATGCACTAATTTACATTTTCCATACATAATATTAACTTTGAACGACCCAGATAATACAGATACAGTATCGAATACAATAAAATATAATATAACAATAAATATTCCATAACTATTTGGGATTTCACACAATAGCATTGAAAGTTTTTGGATATTTGGTGATGGAGAATTTTAGGCCCTAAAAGAATGGTAGATAAAGTTTATTTTACAATAATGTTGTGGATAATAGCAAAATTGGTGACTTCATACGATTTGTTACTTTCTTGGCTAGACAATAAAGATGATTTCTGTATTAAGTGTTTTACAAGGAATGTGATATAAAAGTGAAGTATAATTTTATGGAGTTATAAAATTTATCTTTGGATTAAGATAAAGATGTTGATTGCATACAGGGGTCGTTCTGGTTTTTGGCTCTTACCTGTAAATACAATAACCGACAAAGTTAAAGCATTTGTTTTAACTAACCATTAAAGTAGAAAAGCCCATCAGTCTGTCCATCAATAAAGCTTATTTTAAATTGTAAGACGAAGAACAAGCAAGGACCTGCATTGTTAATTATACGTTACAAATCAGATAGATAAACATGACTACCAAAATGTCCGAAAATAAAGAGTTAAAATATGAAAGTGTATTGTAGATGAATAATAATTAGTTAATAAATTAATAATAAAATATATTAATTAATAATAGATATAAAAACTGCTTCGTTGGCCGAGCGATCGCAAGTGCGACTGCCGGGTAAAGGGTTGGGTTCGATTCCCGGATCGGGCAAAGTAATATTGAGTTTTAAAAAAATATGTCAATGTTAGCACGGAGTCTGAAATTGTACCCGGTATATGGCAATAGGCTCACTCCCTCTTATATGGCATTAAGTGCCGTAATGTACACCTGTGGACAAAAGGCGTGATTTCATTGCGTTAAATTAAATAAAGTTAGTATTTTTGCGTTAAATCAAAGTCTCAAATTAGGATAGGAGTTAACGAATAGATGATTAACGATTACCACAAACCAAACCCAAAACTAACTAATGTATTCAAATTGAATATTTTTTCAACATAGCCTTGCTAGAATCGATAACTAATTTGAAAAAATAAATTGGTTAGTTTTAGATATGACATCAGAACATAACTTACTGTTACAATATTAAATTATTAAGGAGTGGAGTTAAACAAATTCAAAATATTGTGAATGTTTGGTTATTTGGCAGCCAAAAGTATTATAAGCTTTCGTAATTGGCTAGTTAAGACTCACGTAGGCTTCGATCATACTACGAATAAACTGCAGCGGTTTATAAACGCGTTTATGAAATAGAAAACGAATAAACAACGTTCTACTAGAGTCGCGGAGAACCTAACGGGTAACCGGGGCTCCGGCTCGACGTGCAGGAGAAGGAACGGGGTGGTTTAAAGTCAGTAAGAATCTGACACTCCCCGCCGTCTCACCCAGGCGGGAGCAGTCATTCGATGATTTCCCCCCTTAAAAAAAAAGGCTCTACTAGAGAATTTCTCCTGTTATTGATTTTACAACCAAGACATGTAACAGAAACACAGGACTGGATTTTTAATTTTAAATAATGAATATTAATTTTTTACTTTTAAACTTGATTTTTTGTTTTTCTTTTTCTTTGACACTGTTGATGATAATTCTCTGTTGACATTGTAATTACCTACTTTGTATTATTATTGATCTTTTTTTATTGACATTGAGTAGATTTGATTTTGTGACATGTATTATATTGTATTGGGTATACTTATTGAACAGTTCTATCAATGTATTAATGTAATAGTGTCACATACATTTTATCGTTAAATGTAATTCGATTTAAGGAATGTCATTTTTTATTTTTTTTTGTACTACATGTGTTATTAGTTTTAAGCTTTAATTAAAAAACACAATGTAAATTGTTTTTGAAATAAATAAATATATTCACAATAAATCTAAATGTCGCGAAATAAGAAATGGTTGCATTTATGTGCGTCCATATTTTTTGGACCATTACTACTCAATTTGCAGATATTAATGGTGACAATATCATAAGTAAATTTTGATGAATAGGCAATTAAATCATTTTGTGAAATGAATGTTGTACAACCATAATCATTTTGATTTTGATAATGATTTTGGTGCTAACTTCACACAAAGCCAATTTGAAAACAAAAGATGTCGGTAAATCATGTCAGTTAGTTTTTTATAATTGAAAAATATTCAAGTAGTTATGTTTAAACCCCGGAACAGTGTATAGTACATAGCGGAACATGTAAATAAAAATAATGTGGAAGAACAATGCAGGGGACCTTGTACGTCTGACTCATTAAAGGCTAGTATTGTTCTACGCGAGTTTTACGTTGGCTTTTTGTCATACATTGAAAAATGTATATACTTTTTGAATTTTCTCTTTTGATACAAAAAAAGATTTTTGTTTCTAATTTATTTACCTTACTTTTATGTGTTGTGGCAATGATGTGCCTAAGTTATTATCTACAAATACCAAAAATGTTATGACGACTTCTGGATTAAACATAATCTTAAATCAAAACCATTCGAGTGAATAGGCTGCTTATGGGACGACGTGCTCCATTGTAGACCGCATCATCGCTTACCACCAGGCGAGATAGTAGTCAAAAGACGCCCCATCATATATAAAAAAAAATGTTGTATATGAGTGATCATTGAGTGAATGCGATACATTTTTGGAGTCTCTATAATTAAATATTATTGATTTATTTTCATTAATATATTAAATTAATAAATAACAAAATTACAAAAAATCCATCCATAGTCATCTTATCAGTAGCAACACAACGAACGCCTCCACGCCTGCACTCTAACCTTTCCTCAGCTCAATCAAAATTTCAAGGCTGACCTTTCCAGTAATATAATAAATTTATAAAAAACACTATAAAACTCATATATCATATAATTATAATGACATATTTACAGACAGTCGACAGAAACATAAGCTTTAACTTAAATAGCTATCGATAGTCAATAATTAATTTAAACTTTACAATTTAATCGTTTTCGTGATAAATCTCGAGATTAAAGGCTGAATAACGAAATGACTAATGGATTCGAAATAATATTAATCTCACGGTGGCCCTGTATATATGAATCTCATTATATATTTAAATAGGCACATGCATTATACATGATTATTTATTAGCAGAATCCGAATAAAAATTAACGGATTTAGCAAATATTTGTCATTTTAATCAAGTTGATCTATTGATATGTTTATGAATATAATCGAAATTTGTTTATTGATTTAATAATAATTTTGAGTTATTTATAGATTTGAGGTCACGCGCAATTTGGTGTCCTTTGGTCATTTTGATTAAAAAATAAAGTCAAAGTCAACAGTCAAAATCATTTATTTCAATTAGGATAGGTATATTATATTAATAACCGGAAAGGTACTTTTGAACGTCAACAACAAATAGCATTATGATTAACAAATAAATTCTGATGGATAATACAGTATCTTCGACCATTTTCAGAAAATAAAACCGATGAAATAAAATAGTTACGACTATTACAGACGACACGCGACGCGTAAAACAAATATCGGCTTTACGTCAAACAGCGTGTCGATCGTACGATACATGAGATAATGTCAGATTAACGGAAACTGAACAGAATGAAGACGTATACCTGTCGGGAGCCTTCACTGCTTAGTACCTATGTGCAGTCACCGTAACGATGCCGGTTTTAACGATAAGTAAGTACGTTGAGTACTGAATAGAATAATTGGAGATGTTAATGCGAAGTATGACTCGGAGAGATATTTTTTTTTTTGTTTTTTTTTTTTTTTTTTAAACGTTGCCCCACACTAGGATTTTCTCCTGTGTCGTGGGTGCGTTTACAAACATACAAGTTCACATACACAATGACACCCAGACCCGAAACAACAATTTTACAGATATTAGGGACCGGGTAGACGATATTTTGGTTAAAGAATTGAGTGTTTATTTTTCTATAAAATATATTTTTTTAATTGACTTAACATCACGCCTATTATCCCCGAAGGGGGAGGTAGAGGTGCAAATTATAGCACTTAATGCCACTGTACAATGAAACACCCATTTTCCACTATTTATATAATGAGTTTCATGTAATAAGGAGTGAGCCTATTGCCATTATACCAGCAATAGGCACAATTTCAGACTGCGGGCTACTACTGAGTATTTTATCAAAAAAACTTAGTAATACTTTGGCCGACCCGGGAATCGAACTAGTAACTAGTTCGACCTTGCCTTACCTTGCAGTGACACTTGCGACCATTCGGCCAACGAGGTAGTTTTTAAATTATTGCAGACAAATATATTTTAAACAATGTGCCGTTTACATAATTCTCATAGCTACTATTAGATTAAAGTTAGAACTATTTCTTGACATAGCATACATAAATAGATCGCTCGTTTTCAAGTTGAACCATCGTTATAAACTTATAAATAACAACCCTAGCGAAACGTAAATAAAAATACGTAAACATGTAATAACACTAACGAACGTCTGGATTCAAAGCGAATAAACTTATTCCTAATAAGACTAACAAGAACTTATAGACGACTGAGTTTTACAGACTACGACCCTCATTTCAAAATCAATTTCTAATAATCTTACCTTCGCTCATAATACGCCGTTCGCAAACACTACGCCAACGGCAATGAACTGATTATTAGCGTAAAATACGACTGCCAATTATGTCATACGATGTCGAAAAATTAGTGAAGTTATTATAAATCTGATCCTTAGCTTAGCACAGCGATATTTTCACAGTATTCAATTTAATTGTAATCTTGGGACAACTTTAATATGACTTTTAATTGTTTGCACCTCAATTAGTCGTATTTTACTCAATATGTATCTATAACTTTTAACTATAAAGTGTGAGAGTGCCATGGTTCAGCACGAATGTGCCGACCCGACCGGAGTGATACCACGACCTCACAGAAAACCGACGTGAAACAACGGTCTATATCTCAGTATCAGTCTCAGTCTGTCAGTCTCGGTCTCGGTAACGGTCTCGGTAACGGTCTCGGTCTCGGTCTCGGTCTCGGTCTCGGTCTCGGTCTCGGTCTCGGTCTCGGTCTCGGTCTCGGTCTCGGTCTCGGTCTCGGTCTCGGTCTCGGTCTCGGTCTCGGTCTCGGTCTCGGTCTCGGTCTCGGTCTCGGTCTCAGTCTCAATCTCTGTCTTGGTCTCGGTCTTGGTCTCGGTCTCGGTCTCGGTCTCGGTCTCGGTCTCGGTCTCGGTCTCGGTCTCGGTCTCGGTCTCGGTCTCGGTCTCGGTCTCGGTCTCGGTCTCGGTCTCGGTCTCGGTCTCGGTCTCGGTCTCGGTCTCGGTCTTGGTCTCGGTCTCGGTCTCAGTCTCGGTCTCGGTCTCGGTCTCGGTCTCGGTCTCGGTCTCGGTCTCGGTTTCAGTCTCGGTTTCGATCACGTCTCGCTCGTTCTCGGTGTCGGTCTCGTTCACGGTGTCGGTCTCGGTGTCGGTCTCGGTCTCGGTCTCGGTCTCGGTCTCGGTCTCGGTCTCGGTCTCGGTCTCGGTCTCGGTCTCGGTCTCGGTCTCGGTGTCGGTCTCGGTCTCGGTCTCGGTCTCGGTCTCGGTCTCGGTCTCGGTCTCGGTCTCGGTCTCGGTCTCGGTCTCGGTCTCGGTCTCGGTCTCGGTCTCAGTCTCGATCTCGGTCTCGGTTTCAGTCTCGGTTTCGATCACGGTCTCGCTCGTTCTCGGTGTCGGTCTCGTTCACGGTCTCGGTCTCGGTCTCGATCTCGGTCTCGGTCTCGGTCTCGGTCTCGGTCTCGGTCTCGGTCTCGGTCTCGGTCTCGGTCTCGGTCTCGGTCTCGGTCTCGGTCTCGGTCTCGGTCTCGGTCTCGGTCTCGGTCTCGGTCTCGGTCTCGGTCTCGGTCTCGGTCTCGGTCTCGGTCTAGGTCTCGGTCTCGGTCTTAATTACAAAATTATGAAATGAAATGTAATGAAATACGTATATTCGGCATAAGGCGTGCACGCCAGAAAAAAAACGTATACATTAACTCAGTACCTAATACGATAAAGTCCAAATCACTATGATTCCAATACATAACCTTGATAGAACCAAAATCACAGATGTGACTAGACTAAACAAACCTATAAAGTACCCATCGGTATTTGTATGGCGAAATATAGGTAACTGGAGTTACCTTAACATTGCGATCGAAACTTCTCAATGACTTTAACAAGGACCTATTACTCCGCCATTACAAGTCAATAGCGCGTTACAAATATTACAACATTTATTGTAACATTAGCTGTTGTCCTCGACTTCGTCCGTGTAGAATATGAATTTTAGGACTTTTAAACTTTTTTTGTTTCATTTGTCCAACATAAAAGTAGCCTACGTTACTCTTTAGTACATAAATCGGTCCAGTCATTCCATACCGTATGTAAATTCATATGAATGTAGTAGAAAGAGGTTGTTTTACGTCCAATTTCAATAACCTATCTATCTATAGATTTGCTTACTAGAGATAGAATTTTGATATGAGCTCCATACAAAATGTGTCAAAATTCTATGTCTAGTAAGCAAATCTATAGATAGATAAGTTATAGAAACTGGACGTTAAATAATGATAAACACACTCCAATTTAATTGATTGGTATAGAGCACACGAGGTTTTTTCCCCAAATTGACAACCTCAAAGTCAAAACATTTATTAACCAGCTTCAAAAAAGAGGTTTGTTATTTAGGGCCCGTATAACAATCAATGTCTGTCTGTCTGCCTGATAGAATATATATAGAACGTTATTGGTATGAACTGTCTACCATAGGTTTATCGGGTACTTCATGAAGGCGACACATTTCTAACGTTAAAAACTATTGCCAAGTTTAAACAAACTTGTAACGTAATTAACGCACACCCTCAAACACCCCAATTAGAATATTATATTATATACATAATACATACACAAAATTTTTAATTTAACATGTATATGCATCCTTACTGGTCTTGTCATAAGGTTTATTTTTCTTTATTTTGTATTTAATGATAGAATTTGTATGAATACAAACAAAACTGCATTTTAAAAGTCTTTTTGCTTTGACTTACGGCCCGTTTCGATTTGTTTTGACAATACAGGGTTATTATTTAATATGACAATAATTTTCGTAGTTTTCTTTATTTTTGGGATAAAAAATCACCTATACTAAAAATTATATAAATCGATTCAGTTAACGATACTGAACAAACTATTTTCAGGATGTGCGTTATTTAAGTTACATGTTGTATAATTATATATATTTTATTTTATTGCAAAACATCACTGCATATTCTCAATAAACAAAAAACTAATTAACTCCCAGTACTAGACAATCAACATCAAACAAACTCAAATAAGGTCATAAAAAAGCAAAAAACTGCCGTAAAAAACCTCTATTAGGGGTGAATTTTAATCAGCAGGCCGCAAAAATACGAAGGAGTGTCGAGGCAAAAATCAGACGATATTTGATTCTGTGAGGTAATAGTATTTAAGTTAATATTGACACAGTAGCCATACCAGCGCATCAAGATGTCCCAAACTGAAAACTATCTTCAGGGGATTTTCAACCTTAACACAGAAGGATAAGTTTGAAAGTTATTACATGTAAGGGTAGTTTGATGTGCTAGTTTATGCACTGCTTTTAATTAATTCTATCTACGTTTTGGTTCCCTTTGACATGGTCCAGCTTTAAATATAGCCTTTGAGGTGGGATCAGATTTTTTATTTTTAAGTAATTAAATGCGTATCGGAACATGTATCTGATTTACAGCAATGCATTTCAAACTATTGGGTACATATGGTTAGCACAAAAATATTTTACATTTTGAGATAAATATTTTCATCATTTAGATGAAAAGTTTTGCAATTCGAGTTTGACAGTAAAATTTGAAATTGGTCACAAATTATAAATGGGACCACCGAAAATGGGATTTATTTCACAGCCCAGTCAATATTATCTTTTTATTTTCAGTTTTTCAGTAGCTAGTAAACTAGTATGTAACGTAATGTATATACTTGATGTTTTTGAGTAATAACCAAAAGATAAAATAATACAACCTATTTTCATCACCATCTAGTCTAACTGAGTTCTGTAGAACTAACTGACATTATTTTCGTCACTAGCTAGCTCTAATTCAATACTGAGGGACAAAAAAAGAAAAACGAAATATTTATTCAGTGATAAGCTAATAATCTTGGTGAGAGTCTGCCTCGTTGGCTGAGTGGTCGCGAGTGCGATTGCCGGGCAAAGCGTCTCGGGTTCGATTCCCGAGTCGTGCAAAGTATTACTGGGATTTTCTTTGTAGTAGCACGGACTCTAGAATTGTGTCATGTATATGGCAAAAGGCTCACCTTCTATTCTATTACATGGGACTCATAACACAAATAGCAAAAAGTGGGTATTACATTGTACAGTGGCATTAAGTGCCGTAATGTGCACCTCTGTCTACCCCTTCGGGGATAAAAGGCATGATGTTATGTTATAATAAGGGATGCAATATTACTGCCCATGAAGTGTGAAATATTCAAACTCCTAACATAAACAGCTCACATAAATGCTCAACCAGACAAGCAGTCAGTTAAATCATCAATAAAAAAATTCTGACATACGACCTCGCAGCTGACATAGAATTGTAAGTAACTATTCACTACACGACCTATAGAAAGTCTGGGATACCTATATAGTCGTTAACTAAAGGCCAATAGTGCTGTCCCCTCATTGCGCAGTCTAACCCATGAAATGACCATAAAATTAACGATATACCACTAAACCATGTCGTAAGCCACGTGTATGAACAATTTCAATACAGCACCCGTCCTATTGCATAAACTGACTCTTTTCCTGTTAGGATGGGTTTGCTCTTTGCGGTATTAAAGGTATTTGGGACAAGGGACGGTGATCTTTTAGACTTCTAATTATACAGACCTACTATGAGACTTACATTCCTCTATTAAATGGTAAAAATTAGGCTTTATGTGGTATAGGTTCTTAAGTGTAGGAGAGCCATGGTTCGGCACAATTGGGCCGGCTCGACCGGAGTGGTACCACGGTCTCACAGAAAAGCGAAGTGAAGCAACGCTTGCGTTGTGTTTCGTCGTGTGAGTGAGGTTACCGGAGGCCCAATTACCCAATCTCCCCAATCCCTGAATCCCCAACGATCCTCAAACTCCTAATCCCCAAAAAGCCGGTAACGCACTTGTAACGCCTCTGGTGTTCCAGGTGTCCATAGGCGACGCCGATTGCTTACCATCAGGTGATCAGTCGGCTCGTTTACCGGCTTATGCCATAAAAAATAAGCAAACGTACAGACGTACCATCTGATGGTAGGCAATCAGTGTCACCCACAAACAAACGCGTCACCAAAGGAATTATAAAAACGATTCTAAATTATATTATAACCTCCAAAAACCTGATTGTCATTGCATTGCTATCGGTACTCCAACCAAGCCATTCATATAACACTGTATCTGTGTTTACAAATGCAAAAAGTTGACAAAAAGTCGTCCCTCACAGGGATCGATAGTACATCAATATTTACTAGCATTTGTAGCAAATATTTATATACTGTAAATAAAGACTGATGTTTCTCTATTTGGTTATTTATTTATTTAAATTTTAATGTAGACAGAAACAAGTATTGGTACATTAGGCGGACATTAATGCCATATGGCATTCACTCCCAATCAACCGGTGGAAAAGGAAATCGGTGAAAAAATAGGCATGGTTATCCCTGTAGTATTATTAGACGAGGATCTACAAGTATTACTTTCATAGCATCGGACTAGTCCTAAGTCCAAAGATTGGAAGTAATCCTTGTGTGTGCATATATAAACAGAAAACACTTACGCAAAAAAGCCCAATCAAACGGAATGAAGATAAAATTGAAAAAAGTCAACATAATAACTGATTTTATCGGTGAGATATTTATGATAATAATGTATCTATACATTGTGCAAACCAGTATTTATGGAGATTCTTCGTAACTAATGCTGACACCTTGGGACCAACATGGGACCTTGGAGTTCAATAGAGACTAAATTTTGCAGAACGTCAATGCAAAAATGGTAGTATATACATTACTGATGTGTTCAGTTAGAATAATCTAGTTTATATAAACTAGATTATTCTAACTGAACACATCAGTAAATTACCTAAATGAAAAATAAATAACAACATACTTTTTAAAATGACTGTCGTAAGAGATAATAAATAGAAAGCTGAGAAAAGCACTACTAGTTTCGAGCCACAGAGGGGCTCTTCCTCATGAGCCGCGTGCGCAAACTAGTTCAGCTTTTCTCAGTATGTTCACGTGAGTAACCTGCGATTTTTAGTTAACAACAAACTTATTAATAGATGTTTATCCTGCATGTGTATCCGCAGCGAGGCAGCTATTTATTTCTGCCTTACAAAGAGAAGCAAGATTATCTGCTATTATTTCTCCTTTCATATTAACTCAAAATAAGGGTAAGCTCAGTATAAATAAAAACAGTTTATGTTGTTATAATCAGCCAATTTCATTCGTTTATATTACACAATATCATATTATTCTTAGTTTTTCTTCCAATGTGGTAAACGGTTAAAGTATTATATTTTTAACTGAATTTACTTGTATTAATGTCGAGGAAGTGAAAGAGGTAAATATATCGTAGCAATTATTGACGTCCCATAGTTTCTGCTTTGCTTACCCCCATGAGAGAAAGGTGAGGTTATATATATACTAGTATTAGTAAAAGAACAAAAACAAGAATAACAATTATTTATTAAAAAAACACATAAGTTTCTTAGTATAGCGCCTCTCTCCAGTCGAGTCGGTTTGACATACCATCAGATCTCACGATCACTCGTGAGATCTGATTAAATTAACTCTTATTTCCTCACGGAAATAAGAGTTAATTTATATTAGA